TGTGCAATTACAATAAAACAATTTTCTTTCTTTAATGATGTACATTACTGATCCAATAGAGGAAACATTGATATATGATAAACATGAAAACAGCCAATAATAAATTACTCCAATGCATATAATGCATACATGACAGGCCCAGACAGAAATAGTCAAATTATAGGACTTACTTATCTTAAATGCATAAATGTAGTTTTGTTGTAAGTGATTGATATGCATGTTCATCTTACAAGACCTACATATGTGAATGAATTTCACCAAACCTCATTTTTAATGCAGAAAGAAATATGCCTTTTAAGTATTTGGGGAGAATTTACTTGAAAACATTGTTAGAATGTAAGAAATATACAGAATTCATTTAGAAAACATTAGTTTCAGAAGTTAGTTGATATATCTAAATATCTAAAAATTAGTTTCAAAGACTGTTTGAAAATGTTAATGGCAGGACAAATAGCAAGTGGGAAGTTTGTAAAAAGAAATACTAAGTAACTCATGTCAAACCATCTGCTTGGGACACGGACTTAACTAAAAGAAAAAAACTTCCCAATATTCATTGTGATGAATGTTTCTGTATTGGAAGTGAAAATGACAACTGCAAGTAGAACTGGCACCACAAAGTCCAATATTGGCATTCAAAATTTATATTTATAAATGTATTTGTCTTTTGTGTATTGCATTATGACACATAGTAGAGAGGTCAATAGACAGCAATATTTATCAGGGGTGAGAGTTCCAAAGGGTTATGATTGATTTCATCTTGTTACCTATTAAAGGTGTCTACAGTGGAAGCATAACAAGAGCATAAAAGTAACTAGTCATATTAAATCAGTTTAGACAGTCAAGTAAATGATGATAAAAGTATTTTTATAGAATGCTAAATTTGACTTGGTAGCCTATATGATCTACTCATTCTAGTTGATACACGATATGTAGTAGGAAAATTACGCACTTGATTGGGTGTAAATTTTAATTTTGATGTAAACTGATATTTTTCAACTAAATCACAAAATGCATTTCATATGCATTTTACTAACTTTTATAGCAACAAATGTATTTTTATGAGCTCATATCTTTTGAGTTCTTTTTTGTTATCAATACTTTAAAGCTTAAGAATTAGTGTTGTAGCTCTTTTAAAAAGTTTTTAACAATCTGCCTAGCAATGACTTGAATTATTTTTTCGATAAAATTTTGTATATGCAAATAACAGTTTTATCAAACTACAAAAAATTATTTCAAAAAGATTTTTTAATAAAAGATATTTATTCTAACCTGTTCCTTTAAGTAAAAAATAGAATCTTCAAGAGCAGATCCTGCAGGTTTTTCAATAAAAGGAAACCTGAAAATATTGCAAAAAAATAAAATCACATTAAAGCATTCTAGTTTTGGAAAGTGCTTCACCTAAAGTCATATAAAAGGAATTTCAAAGTCAGTTCATGTCATAAAAAAATAAATAACCATTCATCAATAAAAAAAAAATGTATGACTTGACCGAGACCAAAATATTGCATGCACAAATTTTCAAATACATATGAAAATTGATAAAGCTAAGTAAAAAAAAAAAAAGAGAGAGAAAATAAAAGCACCATAGTAAATATCACAACTGTCTTCCTAAATATAAAATATAGTCAAAGAATTGAACAAATAAATCTAATAATTCTTCATATATGGACGTTAAGAAATTTTATAAATGAAATGCAGAATTAATTTTGGTTTGATATCTGTGCATTTTCAGATTCTCAGAAATTTTCATTTCCTTTTATTTATTAGTAAATTTAATTAATCTTACAATGTATAATGATTTCCAATTTTTATGTCATGTGCAAATGTTTACAACATTAAGCATAATAAACTAATATTTTTCTACTTCATAAAAAATTTTCAGGGATTTATCTATCAATTTTCATGGAAAAATATTTTAAATCTTCAATGTTATTTCTATATAATGTGATAAAATATTAATATACAATATATCATAGAAATGTAAAAGAAGTTTAATCCATTTAATATTATATATTGAGAGATATTGGTTGAATCTTTAAATGGGGATATATATATATATATATATATATATATACACACACACATACTTTCTACAATCAGGTAATCCAAGAGCAGTCATTTGAAGAATTAATGAGTTCAAACACACTCGTTGTATCTCAGGTGTAGAGTACTCATCCAGAGCATTATAGTCAGCTTCACTATACAAGCGGAAACACACTCCAGGACCTGTACGACCTGTTGGGAATAAAAACAAAATTCAAATAATAATGATGCTATGTCAATGTACATAAACAATGCTTCAATGTATATTTTTTATATAGTATTACTTTCGGATAATTCTGTTAAAGGATAATTAATTCTACTGTAGTTAAATGAGTCTCTATTCCTAGGATGTCATTTGTACCATACAAGATACCGCTTGTTCAATCCCCCATTCTTGCATTCTGCACACTTCAATGTAAAACCGTTCTGCCTTCTCACTGCTTCAGCCCACTATTATTAAGCCAACACAGCGATATACCAACCAATCAGCATTCTTTGCTTTTATTCTTAGTTACCCAGGCAAATAGCCTCCTCCAATCCAACCAATCAGCACGACTTGCTATTGGTTGAACCATGCCAAACTGTACAAAATAGACCTGTTACAGCACATAATGCTGGGAGAGTTAGATGGGAGAGTAAAGCCATTTTCAAGGAGCAAAATGCCAATGACATGTGCTGCATGTTAAGGTAAAACACTTATTTTCCTTTGCACCAGATGCAAGCCACTATGGCTCACTTGCTTCTACACGACTGTTCACCACATCCTACCTACTTTAACATTCTATTAGATAACCTAAAATTTCCTTCAGTTGATATAAAATAAAGACAATTTTTTATTTTTAACATTAACTTTATTGAACTGTTTTGTGCCATTATCACCTATCATTTTTAAACAACTTATGATTCTATCCTTTCAGAAATGTTTATCTTTTGAAACAAAAAACTGCTCTTTTTTAATTCAGAGAATTCTCCAAATAAAGGAATAAATGGAAATTTAAAGATACAATGTTTGGTGAATATAGTAAATGAGTGGAAACTTCCCAGCCAAGCTTTACAAAAAATCTAGTACATATCACTAACACAGCTGACGTGGCTCAATGCAGAGTCCTTCCCATGCTGGTCAGTACTGCTGCTGATCAACTAATTGTTATCCGCTTCCCGCTTTGTTCCTTCATCTGCTTCTGCCCTACGTTGTGTTCCTTGATCACAGAGCAGTGAAAATTGAATTTCATTTGAACTTGAGTGCTGGGTCAAACAGCGACAAAGCTGTGCTACAAAAGGACAAAGAATGTTTCTGCTGGCAAAACTAAAAATGACATAACAATGTGACACCCACCGGTGGTCACAGCCGCAGCACCAATATATGACGTCCTTTGGTCGCGACGCCAATATGTGACACTGCGCTGTCGGCCCATGGTCAACTCCCAGTTGCGGCGTTAAGCTGTAAGGTTTCTTCCACCTGCGTTTTGGGGTTGACTTTTTGTCGCTACCACCAGCCTGTGTCCCTGCCAATCTGGTCGTTCCCGGTTCAAGACCAGCTTTGTTGTTCCCAGCTCACTTCCAACGTCTGGTTACCAAAGTAACTACTTTGATCTCAAGTCTAACCTACCCACGTTGTGACTTTGATCTTAGGTAGACAAAATCAATCAGGCGTCGGGCCGTAGTGCAAGCTGAATCCGGGGTGAAGGTGATATCGCACAAGCGTAAGTAAAAGAAACAATAAAACAAAAGAGGTTCAAATATGTTGAGAAATAACAAATTATCTTTATCCGTCTGTTGAATACAGGAGTGTGTTTCTCTCCCAGCCTATTTCTATGGATTCGTGACACTTGAGTTTCTTAAGCGAGTTTTGGTATCTTAAGTTGTTCATCAATATAACTTGCTTTTAGTAGGAAGGCTAAGTTGGAAGGATGTGGAATTTCTTGGTCAGCTTCTGCAAGTCAACGGCCTGACTGCAGCTGCGAATCAACTGCTGGAACTCCTGGAACCAACTAACTCCAAACTGATCAGCTGCCTCGAGACGTTCGTTTATATGGATACCGACAAAAACCCAGTGTAGGAGCCTAACATGGTTTGGGTTCCTGATAATTCTTGATTCGCAGCAAGAATTCTCTTTGTTCTTAGGCCAGGAAAATTAATTATTTCCCATTTTTGGAAGATTATTCACTTTCCATTTTGGGGGTTTCTCCCTCGTCCGTGAGGGAAGGTTGGAGGAGAGTTATCCTCCTAGACTCTTCCTCTCTCACATTGGTATCTCATACCAATCCCCTCAGTGGGTGTTAACAACTTCTCTGTCTTTCTCATACATTCACCTCTGCCTATCACCCATGCTACCACTTGACCAATGATCTCTTGGCAGTGTGGGTGTGGCTAGACTGGCCCTCTTGAAATTATTATCCAGAATTTTGTTTACAAAATCCTTTTTTTTCCTTTGGTCAAAACATTTAGAAATCCCAGATTGCCAAATAATTCTTATCACATCTTTCTTTCAGGGACAACCAAAATTTACTTAGTTGGGTCTCTCTACCGATTCATCAATCACTGTCAAAAGCTGACACCTGGTTTCTTCTGCTAAGTCAACTTTTAGCTGGGAGGTTCGTATTTTACCCGAGAATCAAATTCTTTATTTTTCTCATGCCTTAAAATCCTCTTATCACCAAATGCCCATTTTTGATGACGCTGTGTCTGACATCAACAGTTTGAATAAGCAATAATAATACGATTTTCTTCCTTATGCCATAATTCTAACACACACCAGATGGCTCCCTTCGTTGGACCCAGGAATTAAAATTAAATGATATCTCTGAAAGATAATTAATATCTATTCTCCATGGTGATCTCAAGCTGAAATTTATTTTTTTATGGCCGCATGTGTCGGTTGGCTTTGTTTTTCTTTCTGAATTCTGTTTCCCTTTGTGCGTTATTCCCTTAACATGACATTAATCAGTTTTGACAGTATCTCATATCTCGCTTTTTCTTACAGATTTTCTGTCTCGTGCGAAAAGTATCTTTCTTCGTAAATAAAATAAAATCTTTTTTTTATCATCGACCAGTTTATCTTTCGATATAGCTCTTTCTCACCTTAAGTCTTTCCTGTTTTTAATTTCTATGGTTAATTAGTTAGCCAATTACCATAGCTAAATAGTGTCACAACAAAATAATGAAGTTCGCTGGGTTAATTTTCAATTGGTTTATATAGTTCTTGATACAACAAAATTAACCAATCCCATTAAAATCTCTACTATGACATTGTCTTTTTCTTCTAAAACTGAATTTGCAAATAATTTAAAAAAAAATTGGTATAAAATTCAGCATTAGGTCACAAAACTTTCTTCATGAATTTCTTCCAGGCTTCTAAAATTCTCCTACCTTCTGCTTTTTAGGTTGCCTAAGCACCTGTTTGTACATATTTCACCAGACTCCTACCGTACCTCAAGATTCATTAATATTTATATCAATTCATTATCTCTCCAATTTTGGAGAACCAATACTGACATTCAAATAATGTGGCCTATAATTGGTCATTATTCAAAACAATAAATTCTTCGACAACTTTTTGTGTTTATAAATTTTTTTTATATGTATTTGATGTCAATCAGCCCAAATTCCAAATCTCAAAAATCAATCCATCATTTTGTTTTGATAAGATGGGTGGTGGATTTTTCTGACATCAAAAAACTTTTTTTTTGTCCATTTTCAATATTACTGATTAAAAATCTTGCCCACTTTGCATGTTTACAAAACCATATTTCAGATAATTTGCATTATCAGTTATTTAATCATAACAATTCCATTTGTTTTTGATTGACAACTGTAAGTTTATATATTTATATATATATATATATTTATACCCAACATTCCATCCTGCTTTTCTGGTTATCAGAAAGAGCGTAAAAAAAAAAATCTCTCTTTTTTCCTGTTCCATATTTCATTATCAGATGTCTATATTTCATCCATGATGTAAACAGTACATTATTTCTTATTTTGACTATTGTTCCTCATCTTATATATATATATATATATATATATTTATATATATATATATAATGTCCACCAAATTCAACCATGGTTGATATCAGTAGAGATTGATATAAGGATTCTAGTTTTAGCTCACTAGTGCAGTTTGTTTCTTGTTAACAAAACAAGAATTGTTTTTAAATGGATGTCAGTTTTAATTAGATATTCTCTTATTTCCCTAACCAAATTCTAAACAAAATAAATTGTTAAAATGTTTTTGGATATAGAAATTTATACATTGATAATCGAATTATTACCATGGAAAAAAAATTTTTT